TATAAGACGAAATTTTAAGATGTATGTTTAAAGAAAAACATGATTAGGCCTATACGTAGGTAATTATTAGTTTAATTTGCAAGCTATACAATATGGCAAATGATGTAGGTAGCTTATAGATTCAGTCGTAAAAATATTCATCAATAAATTCTTGAAACCTAAAATATGATCGAATTAGTAATTGAAAAAAGATTTCAGCAGATGAAGACTTATAAAGTACCTTAAATTCATATTACAAGCAGAATCTATCTTGAAGTTATTAAAACCAGTCAGATTTTCTTATCGTAAATCATCTCATAATAGTTACACCAGCATATATATATATATATATATATATATATATATATATATATATAAAAGAAATATGTTGTAGTGGTTCCAACGAGAGAAAAGTATGTATATTAAAAAGAAGAGGGGTGCCGCAAACGTTTTTGGTTGTAATGTGGATTTATTGAGAAAAAATATTATACTTTGTTTTACATAATTTCACGACACGTGTTTCTGGTCTGGTCTCGCAACCGTCTTCAGGTGAAAGTGGAGATTTTTACATATTATTAAAAATAATTAATTTTTCTTCATGTTCAATGTGGAATATTCTCGATATGAGACATTCTGTTTGTGTGTTGGCAATCCGAATTTTCTTTCTAGAATTGTCAATGAAGAGTTCTGCGTGAAGGGTCATAAAACAATTAAGGTTTGTCCAGCGAGTAGTTATCGGCATTTAATCTTTTAATGTTTTAGTGACCTCTATGTGCTCTTGGATCTGTTTCTATTTTGGCGTGTTCCTGTCAGCATGCGTGTATATATGCGTGCGTATATATATATATATATATATATATATGCATATATATATATGAGTGTGGAAACCATTTGGTCTGATCTGACAAAACCGAAAAATCGTTTGGAAAAAAAAATATTACCATAGGTTTCTACACACACACACACACACACACACACACACACACACACACACACACATATATATATATATATATATATATATATATATATATATATATATATATATATATAATAAGGGACGAGGTTATAGTTGTTCCAAAAGAGAAAAGTGTATATATTAAAAAGAAGAAGAGAGAAACTGCACACTTTTTTGGTTGTAGTGTGGATTTTTAAAAAAAATATATATTATGCTTTATTTTCCATAATTTTGCAACACGTGTTTTGGGTCTTGGGACTTTCTTCAGGCAAAAAGTGGATATTTCCAAATATTACTAAAATGAATTAATTTTCTTATTTTTTTCTCGATGTTAAACATTCTCTTTTTTTCTGACACAAATATCTTTCTTGAACTGGAATATTATGGAAAATATAGCATAATATATATTTTAAAATATCTACATTACAACCAAAACCTTTTGCGGTTTCTCCTATATATGAAAAAAATTATAGTTTTAACGCCTGCTATATTTATGGGTTAAATTACTCAATATCAGGGACAGAGCGTATGTAAATATAAAAGTGAACATTGAAGTCAACAGATAGCGGCAGAAGTCTGTTTCATGCTTAAACGCAGTCAAACCTTTACGCATGAATACTATTGTTTCAGATTATATGTATAAAAGATAGATGTTTGTTTCATATCTGTCTGTCACAGTTTGCTCATATCCATCTATCATAGTTTGCTCATGCCTATCTAGCTCTCTATCTATCTATTATGGTAATTTCCCCACTCACACATGGAATTTACCAGCTATAAATAAGAGCAGGTACTGCCTTTTTGAGAGGGAAGATTCCAGCAGTCAGCTTTGACAGTCGAACCGAACTTTCTTGCTGTAACACTCTCGTTTGTATATGTTTATATTACTGTTTTTGTTAATATATTTAGTTAACTCAATTCTTCTCTTTGTGTCTTTATTTCTGGGCCTAACAAAGCCACAATACTATCTATCTGCGTGCTTGATAAATGTGTATCGGCTTGTTTCACTTCCCAGACATTAGTATTTCTATGACTAAACATCAGAATACAGTTTTGAGGAATTGGAAATATTCTAGGTCCCTTCCGACTTAAATGCTGTAAATGTTTATTTATTCATAGGCAAAATTTTCACTGTTTAAGGTCATGACCAAAACCTTGAATCTGAATTGCACAGTCATACACCTTCACATTCTGCAACATGATTATTGCCCACCTTGCCAAAAATAAATAAAAATTTACAAAAAACACCAAATTTATGAAGTCCCTTAATATATAAATCTATAAGAAAAATTGTAGTCGTTCATTAAATTAAAAGAGATGTCTATGAAAATGGAAGGCAATATTAAAGATAAGAACATCACTAGGAAGAAATAAAACATAATGCAAGTAATGTTAATATCCAAATATTAAAAATGTTTAGAAATTTTTTGCTGAAAAATTGATAATATTTATATCTCAAAAGCCAATAGTAACATGTAAAATAATAAATTAGTAACTTACTCCAGTGTATAGTATAACGTTGCAATCAAATATATGTTGACATCTTATATACATCTTTTGGTGTTACACATACGTAATAATTGACGCTCCTTTCAGTTTAATAAGACTAATAAAACCCGGCGCTCTGAAAAGCAATGTTTAGAATTAAAAAATATCTACTTTTTAAACTAATCTCTTTCCTGTTCCACGCACTTTATTTAGTCGTGAATACTAATCTTATACTTAAAATATTATGCAACTAAAAATAGGATGTGGATATATATACTTTAATGGCACACGTAATATAGAAATCGTCCTCCTTTCAAATAAAATCGGATTTCTAATTTTATTTTTACTGTATTTATAGTCTTGGCATTTCATATTTCGCTAGCTTAAGTTTCTATATTTAATCTGTATTCACACGAGACAAATCCATCTCCAGTAATTAAAAAATGTAGGTTCCTTCCTTATCTATATCAGTTAATTAATCTGCAAAAATTACAAAGCAGATCTGCAATGACAAATTAGGTCACTATGCCGACTGGTTTGTTAGCTAACGTCGTATTCTTAAGTAAATCCACATAAGAATGTAATATAGACATATGCAAAACTCATTTACTCACAAATAGTTTATATGATGTCGGATTAAAAAGTCCAAAGTTTTCTTAGAAATTACTTACGGATACAAAAAAATAAGCACATATGGATTTTCAAGATGATCTGAAGAAGAGGATACGCATTTTCTTTTCAATGGATATTTGAATAGTGATTACTTGAGAGGATCTATGTAGCGGATTTCTCTAAAGTACGGCGCATCAGGCGATGGTTTCTCTTACAAAAAGGGATGTAAGTTCAAACCCTATCCTTTCTAAAAAGACAGGTTTATTAAGACACTCAAGAAAACAAACCAATAAACGTATTTAACACTGTTTTAAAAATACACGACAGGTTTTCTTCATTCTAAAATTATATTACCTTCAAAGTTATCCTGCTTCAGGACTAAACTAGTCAATATTTTATGAGGTTGATTATTGCCTAAGAAGAGGATTTCAAACCTTCGTCCAACGGACACGACTTAAATTACCACACGTATCTTCTGTCCTAGAAAGGAAGATATTCCTTCTTATAGGTCGACAAGTTTTTTCTCTCTTACAAAATAAGTCAAATGCACACAGAAATTATAGTCCCTGTTGGAGTTACGAATAACTGCATAACAGGAAAAACATATGAGTTGTTTGGGAAAAAAGTTTCTGATGTCATGAGACAGTTTTAGAGATTCGACGCATTTTGATTTTGGATATATTCCCAAGAACTTGGTATTGCATCAGAATCATGGTCATGACTTCGTCGCACTAATTACCCCATTAAGATTTATTGAGAGTAAACATGTCAATCTACCTATCGAGCCAACTAGATACCGTTTTATTTTTTTAGCCAAATTAACAACAGTGTGGAAAGCACCACTGCATGTATGACTGAGTCAATCTAAGCTAGACTTATGTAGTGTATTTATACAACCATTATGCAACTTACCTTGGAGTCAACAAATTAATCTTTGTAGAGCATTTGTGAGTTTGATCCTTACTATGAGTTAAACAGAAGTGACAAGCTTAGTTAATACACTTATAGAACCGTTTAATACTTTGAGGTGAACAAAAGATTAGCAAGTTAGTCTCGCTAATTCGATAATCACTCCGAGATTTCCCGTCTATTTCGAGCTTGCTTTTAACCGGTTCCTCCAAAAAAGAAGAATCAAATTCCTCGATGTTAAATACAGTATGTTTGTGTGTTAACGGAAGGAGGCTCCGGTGTTGTGGTATCGTATATTTTCTATCGATTATAATCGTGAAAAGCCCACAACCATGCGCTTTGAGATTAATTTTGCAGAGTGTTCGTGTGGAGTTACTTGCATCGTCCTATATATGACAGATATTGTAGTTGAGTCGACGGACCGTAGATTTTCTGATGTAGTTTCCTTCCAGTCGAGTCAAATTGAGAAGTTTACCTCCCGATAAGATCACCGATAGAAGATTAATTTAAAGAAAATGATTTTTTTTATTGTTCATGACCCAATAATACAGCAATTGTGCTAGAATTTAAATGCAACGTCAATCCTGTTCTTTTTATTGTCCTTCCTCCTCAGTAACGTTTGGTCAGTTTTCTTCACTCTAGAATCTTTCATTCTCAGTAAGTCTTTGCATCTTAGTAGCTTTATCGCCTTCCTTTAGGTGAAATGATAAATATAAAAATTATACAAAGTAGTTCGAGAAGATTTAATTTAATAAGAACCTCAGTATTCTACTTTAATTTCGATCGTCATTGCTGGCAAAAAACTTTACAGGCTCACTGATTATCAGTACGAATGGTAAAAGCAAGTTGTAGGATTCCACCTTATTTCAGAGTGTTCTCCCTTCTTTAGACTGACACGTCGATCGAAGATGGTAGTGTAAAATCTGTAATAAGCGAATTCTAGACTTTTCTCGACAGCGATTCCCAAATTATTTATCAAACAAATGCTAATCATAGACATGACCACGTTATGATATTTTAATATTGTTTCTCTTTGCCGCTATGGGTTACGGCCACACACCTGTTCCCGTAGGATCACTGAAGTTAAGCAACGTCGAGCCTAATCAGAACCTAGATGGTTAACGACTTTGGAATCCCAGGTGCTGCAAGTGTGGATGTTCGGGTGGTGTACTGGATACTAGTTCGGATTGTCAATCAGAGAGCCGAGTTCTAATTCCACTTGTGTTTGTTATATTCACTTACGCGAAAGTACCATTGGGAAAGGTATGAATCTACCCATTCACTCCTCCCCACATATGGGTTAATTAGTAAGATTTGTATCCCTAAACCATTATTTTCACAAAAAAATTACATTCTAAAAATATATTATGACTGCAAAGGGGTGATAAATCGTGAAAAACGAATCAGTCAATCAATAAATCAATCTCGTTGCCACTATACTATGCAGGATTTTCTTGAATTTTGCATTCGAAGCCTAAGTGAAGAAGAAAACTGAAATTTTCCAGTTGTCCCGATTTCACCTTTAGCATATCACAGGAATCAAGAACGTTAAGCTGACCATAAGCATCAAAGTGCAATGGAGGGGTACCATTTCTAATGATCTTTTATGTATCGTGTCTCTGAGGTATAATAGTTCTGGAAAATATCATTGTAGTCTTAAAGAGAGAACTATAATAATATTTTAGTGAATTAAGATTCAAAGTAAGGATTAACTTTAGCTTATAAATGAATTTTCCTGCAAAAAAAAAAAACACTTGCAAACATACGCTATTCCTTATGTAAAAATCAATCGTCAATTATGATAAAAAATCGACGTATACACGAGAGAAGACGGATATACTCTGTATTATTTTTTTACGTTGCCCTATTTTTTAGCTTCTTTATTAAATGAAAGGAATAGAAAAGTTGTTGTGTGTTTAATGGATTTTCATTGTCTTCCTTCGGCAGTGTTTGAACTGTTTTTAACATTTTCCATTTAAGTTTTCAACACTCTCTCTCTGCACAATGTTTTTCCTTATGGACTTACATTCAATATAATGTATGCAGATAACCCAACTGAAGAAAAATAATCTTTTTTTTCAATTCTCTATTTTCCGTTTGTTATTGTTTTTTTTTCCTTTCAAAAATCATTAAAAGGACTTTGAAGGCCAACAAAAATATTTATTTCTTTTTCATAAAAACAAATTCTATAGCGATCCACTATCTGTTAAATGTTTCGCTCTTTTCTTCATCCTTTATAATTTTTCCTATACTGCTATATATATATATATATATATATATATATATATATATATATATATATATATATATATATAAGTGTATGTATGTTTGTGTGTGTGTGCATGTGCGTCTGTATGTATGTGAGTGCATCCATATATCACCCAGCAAAAAATAGGGAAGCTATCTATTTTATCGTAAATATTCAACTCCTTGTATTTGTGAATTTAACACACACAAATATATATATATATATATATATATTATATTATATAGATATATATATATATATATATATATATATATATATATATATATATATATATATATATATCGAGAGGTTTACCATACATGCATGCATATATATTAAAATCTTTCTTTTACATTAGACTAAAGACTTCTATAGTCGATATAAAACATGCTGTTGTTAAAATTTACGGAGAAAATATCCAGTTCTAACACTGCTTTGGATTTTGATGCATTCGATCATCGACAATCCTTATCAGGAATGTAAATGTTTACAATATGGAAAAGATTTGATTAATTTCATGTCAGAATATTTGTAAAATGATTCATTTTCTATGCATATCGTCGTAACACAGTGATTATATGTAAACACTTTAATTGTAAGATATATTTAGGTAGAATGTTTTCATCCATACACGTTTTACTGAATTCAACCAACGAGGTTTATATGTTTAATTTTAATTGCATTCTTCCAGCTTTTAAATAAGCTATTTTAATTGCATTCTTCCAGCTTTTAAATAAGCTATTTTAATTGCATTTTCCATTGCATTCTTTTAAATAAGCTATTTTAATTGCATTCTTCCAGCCTATTTTAATTGCATTCTTCCAGCTTTTAAATAAGCTATTTTAATTGCATTCTTCAGCTTTTAAATAAGCTATTTTAATTGCATTCTTCCAGCTTTTAAATAAGCTATTTTAATTGCATTCTTCAGCTTTTAAATAAGCTATTTTTAATTGCATTCTTCAGCTTTTAAATAAGCTATTTTAATTGCATTCTTCCAGCTTTTAAATAAGCTATTTTAATTGCATTCTTCCAGCTTTTAAATAAGCTATTTTAATTGCATTCTTCCAGCTTTTAAATAAGCTATTTTAATTGCATTCTTCCAGCTTTTAAATAAGCTATTTTAATTGCATTCTTCCAGCTTTTAAATAAGCTATTTTAAAGCTTTTAAATAAGCTATTTTAATTGCATTCTTCCAGCTTTTAAATAAGCTATTTTAATTGCATTCTTCCAGCTTTTAAATAAGCTATTTTAATTGCATTCTTCAGCTTTTAAATAAGCTATTTTAATTGCATTCTTCCAGCTTTTAAATAAGCTATTTTAATTGCATTCTTCCAGCTTTTAAATAAGCTATTTTAATTGCATTCTTCCAGCTTTTAAATAAGCTATTTTAATTGCATTCTTTTAAATAAGCTATTTTAATTGCATTCTTCCAGCTTTTAAATAAGCTATTTTTAATTGCATTCTTCCAGCTTTTAAATAAGCTATTTTAATTGCATTCTTCCAGCTTTTTAAATAAATAAGCTATTTTAATTGCATTCTTCCAGCTTTTAAATAAGCTATTTTAATTGCATTCTTCCAGCTTTTAAATAATTTTTAATTGCATTCTTCCAGCTTTTAAATAAGCTATTTTAATTGCATTCTTCCAGCTTTTAAATAAGCTATTTTAATTGCATTCTTCCAGCTTTTAAATAAGCTATTTGCTGGAAATTGTGGATAAACAAAGCTGATGTTCTCTTTTAGCATTGAGAAGGATGGTATAAGTTAATTGAACAAAAACGAACAAACATAAACTTCGACAATTTTATCCACAATTTCGATCCTCATGTCTACAACTTTTATTGAATCTGGAAAAATCCAAGAACAAAGTAAACATACATACCTTCTTGGTGGAATTAAAAGTTTTGGCTATATTTCAATATTATCGAACATAAACTATTGTTTATAGTTATTATGTGGTTTCTTTTGATGTGCATGAATAGTAGTAAGCACATTAGGCGTTGTCCAATTAGATGAAGCCAGAAGATTTATTCTTTTTTCATATTAAATAATATGAAAAAACAATCCTATAATATATAGACCGTTTTATAGTAACGTCACTTTCATATAATACAACATGAATTTAAAAATGAAATTATATTCGTCTCTGAAAAACTCCGGCAGCTAAATATTCACAACTTTTTTGTTTGTTTATTTTCGTTTATTTATTTTTCTAAAATTACAAAATTTTGGCACAAGGCCGAAGAAGGAGTTTAGAAAGTCCGGCCTTCATTAGCTATCCTAATCCTAGTTAATTCATTAGCTATCCTAATCCTAGTTAATTCGAATCACGACCCGTTCATAATTACAATTTACTTATTCGCGACAAGAACTCCTCCATCACCATTCGATCCTGCATATACCACAATACCCCATATTCACAGGGGACCTAAAAAACATCCCATGACAAAAAAAAAAATGAAAAAAAATGATAAAATTGAAAATGTCCTTAAAATTTCGATGGATTATGAAATGATGGAGAGGGAATGAATCCAGAAAACAAATTGAAATGCAAGAAAAGGAAAAAATATGGATAACAAATGCAAGTAGGGACCTCGTCCACCCCTCAAAGAATAAAAATGGCCGGGGTATATTCTGGCGATGGACAGAATCAAGAAGCACACTCACTAATGGAGCGGGAAGGATAAACATAAACAGATAACGATAATGTTCTTGATATTGTCTCGCGAAACTAGAAAGTATTAGAACTAAAAGAATTTTAACCTTTGGGTAGTTTCTTCATAAATTGGAAGGAACTTTTTATCAACTCAGACAAAAAGAAGTCATGAAAAGAAACTTAACAAATATCTTCATTTGGTATTTATATTCGGACTAATGTATTCGTTTTTGTTTTTGTCATCTCAACGTTTCGGTGCTTATGTCCTCTGAACTGGTCTTCATCAGGGAATTGTCGATCAGGACATAATACCAAAAACGAGGACAATACTTCTTGTGTAAATATAGCAATTAATGATAATTCCTCATCAAATAAAATATGTATATATGGAGGAGTTTCCCGATGTTTTTTGAAGTGCTAGGATCTGGCAGCTGAGTTCTTAGAATCAGACCGCCTGACGGCACATGAAGGTGAAGGCTTCTATAGAATTGACACCATTTTTTTTAATATGCCGAAACAACAGAATACGTGCAGAGCGACCATCGTCAGGGTTTGAATTCAAAGTTGTCTTCTAGATCGGTTGCCACTCAAATCTATAATATTTTTTATATTTACCCACAGCTCGGAGGAGAGGTGGATTCATGCCTTTCCCAAGGCTATCGTGTATAATGAAATTGAATGGAATTCGAAATTGGCTGTTCGTTTCCTCAGTCCGAGCGTTGCATATTTCTTCCTTCTGTCCACCAGTCTCTCTCTCTCTCTCTCTCTCTCTCTATATATATATATATATATATATATATATATATATATATATATGTATGTATGTATCAATGGCACTTCCACATTGAAATTCCGCCTTCTTGGAGGAATTGCGGAAGTCATTTCTGTTTCATGGCTGTCATGTATAACTTCCGCTTCTGTTTTCACACTTTATAAGAATAATTCTATAACTGCTCGCTTTTATATTGTATAAATTTCCTGTACTCGAAAGATTATTGGGGGTAACGATGATTTGTTGAGATTGAGAATTATCAAGAAAACTCGGCCACAGTCGACAAATATCGATGAGGTGTATATATATATACGCCTAAGACTGCGTCGGAATTATGATGTGAAAAATAAGTCATTAGAAATAAGTCATTTTTTTAACTATTCATAATTGGTATAATTCTAATTCAGTGCTTACTGAGTTTCTATTTATGTTTATGATGATCATATATTACGATGAGGTGTTTCAAATTCCAATG